TTATACTTAATTGATTTTCCTAGTTAGTTTTTTCAATTAAAAGGGCTGAAATGCGCCTTAAAAACCATCGTTCAAAAGGCTGAACTGTGCCTTTAACATTAAATCAGTTTGCTCAAACAATTCTTAATTCTTCAATGAGTAAACCAACCATATTGCTTTATTTTGCTCACATGATAATACTGGATACCTGATGAAGTATATCGATTCAGTCCTAAGACTGGATCAAAATTAATTCACCTCACTTTAAGTAGTAATTTATTCGTGTGTGATGTCATTTCAAATCCTCCAATTCAGACTGGACTAGATTATTTCAAGTCCTCACATTTTGACCCAGTCCTCGGCTTCGCCTCGGACTTGATCAAATTGCGCGGGTTTGAAATCTAGTCCAGTCCTCATAGACGAATTTGAAATATTACATCAAAACTTAGAATTAACCAATGCAAAATTCTACTGTGATCACAGGAACTCAGCCTTGACGTAATGTATGAACAACGAGAGCGAGTGTTTGGATATCCCGGTGAGACACGAGCTCGAGTTGTTTATATGGCTTCTCAAATGAATCGAGACGTAACAGAATGTTTTAGTTTGCTGATTTGAATAGAATTCTTAACCAAGCATAACGTAATTAGGAATTCTATTCAAGTAATTTTGCATGCGTAATTAAGATATTTGATGAAAACACTAGTGACTTTCATCAAGTATCCAAATGGCATCTTGTGATCAAATAAGTGATTATCATTGGCTGAATTGCTCATGAATTATTAATGAATTTGAGAAAGTATATGAAACATTTCTCAAATAAATAAATGTTTTTTTCTTTTAGAATCGTTTTAACGACGTTGACTATTATACTTTTGATCCTATCTGTTATGTAAGCATTATAGTTTGGTTTACGTTTGAAAAGTACAATATTTAGTTAAAAATTAGAGACACTTTAACTAAATGTTCCATATATTGTTCCAGTTCCCTGTACAGCGAAAACTCATTGATGAAACTATAATGAGTGACAGACAGGTATGAATTTATAGATTGAAATGACATTAATAAGATTTTAAATCTAAAAACCCGTTATAGCCCAGATTAAACTTTAGTAAGGTTCTTTTTATTAATTGTGAAGTCCATATTCGTAATTTTTAATACCTTAAACAGTTTTACAACGGTTTAAAAAATAGCTATCCAGGTCATCGCACACTATGTCAAGATGATTATATTTTAGCCACATTTTCATTAGTTATATTTTATTGACATAATTTTCAGATAAATTGGATAAATGATTACCACAAGAAGACAGCAAAACGTGTTGGAGACGAGCTAAAAAAACAGGGGAAAATGAAGCAGTACGATTGGCTGATGGAACAAACTAAACCAATTGTTCGCAATGTTGCTACAACTAATGTTGCTACAACTACAGGGAAATCAATTTCTTTTATTTTTGTTTCAGCGCTAATCGCTCATTTCTCGTTCTGAATGTTAAACTTCAGGTGTGCTTGATGTAGAGTAGAATATTTACTTAGCATTCAGGTGTGCTTGATTTAATGTAGAGTAGAATATATACATTGATTAAGTTGGAATATTGTTTAGATACTGTTGTCTAATTCGTTAGTGTTATTCGTAATCATGTGATTCAAACAGTTGAGATTATCTGAGAACAAATGATCAAATGTTATAATTAATTAAAATCATAGACTTATCAACCAATGATTGTTTGATTATTGTACAGTACCTTGTTCGATTCTGACTATCTTAATTAAATAATTTTTACCTGACTCCTATAGGGATTGTATTCCGCTAGGGTCTTTATTCCGCTAGGGTCTTTATTCCGCTAGGTTCTTTATTCCGCTAGGTTCTTTATTCTGCTAGGGTCTTTATTCCGAGAGGGACGATCCTCCGTTTAGGGTATATTATGGAACTATATTTCGGCTATTGGCGCTATATTCCTATAGGGATCATATTCCTATAAGGGATATACGCCATTGGTGGACTATATTTCCATATGGATTATATTTCTATAGAGTATATTTTTGTATAGAGACCATACTCAGATAGGGACCATATTCCGAGAAGGACCATCTTCTTATAGGGCTTTTTCTCAATAGGGACTAAACTCCAAAAAGGGGACTTTATTTTTCCTGGGCGTCGCCAGTGAACTGTAAATAACCAGCCTCGTCCCTGGCGCTTTGATGTGCTCGAATTTTCCCTTCTCCCCACGCGTGTCCTCCCGCGCGCGCGTCACGCAACATCAAAGCCACAGCGCCGGGTACGAGGCTGGTAAATAACTGGTTATTTACAGTTCACTGGGCGTCCGTCGCCCACTCTTCTCACGCCCGCACTAAACGCCTGCTACGCAGGCTAGATGTGCCCGCGTGATAAATCCACCAGCGGGTTACCAAACAAAGTAAAATTTTCGTCAAAATGGCGGCCGAGTGGGATAATTTAATACCAGATTCACGAGATATGCCCTCGAAAAATGACTCATTTCACGAGGATTTCGAAGGTATTGTACGAGTTATACATAAATACAACTTTACCATGTTTTAAGCACGGTATTTAACTGTATTTTAGACTTCTAGACCATTCCGTGAAAGGTCTTTGATTGTCTTAAAATTACTCTGAACCAACCCTATAATTTGCGATATTTGTTTTGAATTGAGTGTTCACAAAAAGCTTTTAATACGTGTTTAACCTAGTGTGTACTTAACTTGAGCTCTTCAGAATCTCAGTTATTATTTCTTGTATAATTTTTTGTATTTATAACTTTTTTTTACCTATTTTCCAGCTATTTTGTAGATTCTACGGTCAATATTTGATTAAATGCATGAATTGTCACATTTAATATTCAACAGCCCTTTCCGACCTGATACTTTTTCACAAAGATGTCCGGAAATTAAGGCATTTGTAGACATAAACCTGTGAATTAGTTATCACTATCTGTTGTAAATCGTGCTATGTTTTGGGTCTTTTAACTAATATTAAATTTGCCAAATATTTTGTTTTGATTTAAGTATTTTAATGTATTTTTAAAATAACTTGTTCATGTGTTGTAGTACAGGCTATAAAATGGCAGCTATTTCCTTTTCATATAAAATTTGTCCAGTTCTCCTTATTGTTTACATCCTTTTAATTGTAATGTGGTTTTATAATGGCCATTAGCTTGTGTTGTTGTGGGAAAATTTAATATTTTAAAGTATGTCTGATGAAATTTGAGTCACTTAAAAGGGCTAAATATGTTTTGGCATTTCAATAATTAAATTTAAGGCATATTTCTGGCATTTGTACACTAAATATGGGATTGAATAATTTGACATTAATTGCACTTAACATTCTAAGGGCTTTGATACTCTAGACATCAAACTTTTAGAAACAAAATACTGTAGACTTTTATTGCTGGCTTTTAGTAAGCCAGGGGACTCGACAGTCAACAACTAAACAATTCATTAATACACTAAAATGCACATAATCCTTCAACAAACTTCTATATGCATGTCCTCAATGAGGAAAGATCTGTGGCAAACTGATAGTATTCAAAAGCTATCAGCCCGTCAAAGGTGTTTAACATTTTCTTAATGTTTGAAATTTTCATAGTATCCAGTCAGGATACAAGTCATTCACAGTTTGGTATCCAAAACCAAATTTTTGGTATCCATGGATATTAGGCCGACCGACCCTATTTTCTGCTGACCCTATTATTTTTTCAACGCTATTGACTATGCGACCCTATTTTCTCCGGGTGATTGCGTGCTGCTCATACAGCGTGCCAAAATGGCGTCTGTTGTCACACTAATTATTGAACCAAATTGCCTAAATTCGTCTATAGGAAATACGCATCTCTAATTAATATTGATGTCGGGACTCTACTGAAAATCGCCCAGCAAAAAACCGCCAAAACCATGAAAAAAATATTCAAAAAAAATTTTATTTCCTACCTACCGACCCTAATTTTTTCACAATATGAAACCGGAACCACAGGTATTTTTTTTAGGCCTTGGAATACTGGAAATTTCAGACCCTGACTGATTGCTACATATAATGAAAGAATTTGATATTTTCTCACTCTGATAATTGCTGGTTGACCAACATCTATATATATTATTTTTCAAAATGTCTTATTATGCTCTGTTATACTAGACAACAGCGACAGAAAGATGGAGTCAAAGAAACCATCAAAATCAAGGAAGAAAAAAACTTATTCATCAACAAGTGAACAAAGTTTATTGTCTGAAGATCAAGATGAGTACAGCGTAACAGAATATGTCATGGAGTACACAGGTATGGAAGTTTATATATCGATACGTCAATTTTACCAAGCAATCCATTTTTGCACAATCAATTAATCAGCAGAGATCCATTATCATGCAGGAGATCACCAGACTTCTAAGTTCGCTAATTACACGCCTTGGGATGGCAAAATTGCGCGCAGGAGATCTTATGCGAGCATGGCAAACTTAGCAATCTGCACAGTCAACCTGCAGTTACCAGAATGAGTAAAAAATGTTAATTCTTGTTATTATATGTAGTAGTCTTGTATTTGGAGGAAAATAAATGAATAGAACTGAGAGATTGTAGTTTGTTGTTGTCCACCATCTGTTGTTTTGTAATGCAAATTGAACACACCTGTTGTAGGCTTTTTGCATAACATGCTGTTTTAACATCAGATAATTTACGCAGCTGTTTTTGTTCAGATATATTCGAACCAAGCACGCAACAAAAGTTAGACTTTGTCGACATACAGGAGGGTGACAGAATATCCGAGGCTTCTGATGATGAAATTGTTGCACATAGCAGTGAAGCAAAAACATATGAACATACCGACATCTTAGACTCCGAGGAGAGTGAGGATTCGTCACGGTTACCCCCTGTTGATACAGGTGTGGACACCTTTGGGATAGATGTGGATTTAGGTATGAATAATGGGATCGCTGATGAAAGTGAGGAAAATGATGAGGCTTTAGTAATGGACAACGAGGGCCACAATACCTCGAGTAAGAACATTGAGACAAATTTGGGAAATTTAGTGGAAATTGAGGGAAATGGGAAAAGGGAAAATAAGCAAGTGGATGCACAAGTAAAAGTTGAGAATGAACAAGTGGAAGTACCAAAAGTGAAAAGTGAGCATAAACAAGTGGAAAAAGTTAAACATGAAAGTAAACAAATGGAAGTACCGAAAGTGAAAAGTGAAAATAAGCAAGTGGAAAAAATGAAAAGTGAAAATAGACAAATGGAAGCACAAAAAGTGGATGAAGTGATAGAACAGGGTAGCGAAGGTGGAGAAAAGGAAGAGAGTGGAAAGGAAGATGAGAAAGAATCAGATGATGAGCAATCAGAAGAACAAGTGGAAATTTTAGCAGAGGATGATTATAGTGATGACACAACTGAAGTGGATAAATTAATTCAAGACAACAACACCAAGGTTGAAAATAAAATTTACCAGAAGAAAACGAAAAGTAAAATGGTCAGTTCAGGTACTCAGGCTCGTGAAGCTGAACCTCTGTTAAACACTTCACAAACCCCCTCCCCTCCTGAGACCCCCTCCCCTTCTCAGACACCTTCCCCCGAGCCTCAGGAATCCTCACGACACAGGAAGCAATTCACACCACGAGAGTACCCTGGGAAAGCTGTCAAGTCGATTGCCATCGGGACTGACGATGATTACCCGTCTAACGAGTATACAAAAGAAAGGCATGCCAGGGCAAGTCCTGCGGAATCTCAGAAGAGGGGAAAGGGGTCTACAGGAAAAGTGCGCCCACGTCAGAACAATGAGAATGGAGTAAAGACCCCCAAAAAGGCCAGCACCCCTACTTCAACCCGCACTCAAACTTCAACCCGCACCCCAACTTCTAGCCGTTCCCACCGACAGGCCAATGGTGACACACCCACCCCTAGGTCCAAACAGCTCCGAGGGGAGAGGGGGAGTCAGTCAAGTGATGCAATGTTCTTCAAATCTCGTTTATCTCAGACCAGTAAACGACATCCAAAGAGACATGTATGGTTGGTCAGAGATAGTGAGATTCATCGCTTGATCGCTGAGAAGGCTGCAATACTACGAAGATTCAAGGAGGAGGGCATTACAGGTGAGTTATTAATAACTGTATACTTGTATTAACCTTCTATTTCACCTGTTTTCAAAATTATATGACCAGCCCAAAAATAGCTAGAGTTGACATGTTAGTTTTATGTCACAGTTTTATGTCATTGTATACCCACATATTTTCTGTGTTTTGAATACAATGTGAAGAAAATAGTGTACCTTTATATTTCATTTCTTCAGGTCGAGTAAAATCAAAAGGTTTTCCAAATTATTCAGAAGTTGATGTTCTTGGCTTGCCCTCGGTTGGTTTTTCTGGTCGGACAAAAGATGACTCCCACCGATCGTCCTTACCTTACGATAGACATCCCTCATCCAGATCATCCCAGGGTGGTTATCACGGGGGCTTGTCTTCTGAGGATGAAGATGAACGGACAAACAGACTGGGTACTAAAGGAGGTAAGGGATTTATGAAACAAAAACTTTTCCTGTTATTTCTTACTGTAACTTAACTGGCATTAAAATGCATATATACAATAGCATTACTATTATCACCATCATCTTGACCCCTACCATTTTCATCATCACCATGACCATTACCACACCATCACCATTATTATCACCATTACCACCATCATCACCATGACCACCACTATCATCATCACCATGACCACCACCATCATCATCACCATGACCATCACCATCACCATGACCACCACCATCACCATGACCATCACCATGACCATGACCACCACCATCATCATCACCATGACCATCACCATGACCATCACCAT